TCTCATCCTTTTCTTCAGCCTCTTCAAAGATTCTTGTACCTGAACGTCGATTTGTTGGATGAACAGCCAACTTAGCAGGGCCCCAGAGTCCCACTTAAAGTCTTAATTTCCTGACACCATGCTACTCCTGTGTCCCCCTGAGGCGAACAACCGGCTCGCGCCTCAAACGACGAACGCCGGCAGGGGGGGTTCACGAAATAAGCCGTGAAGCTATGGATGGCAGTGGTAGATAAGACAGCAATTCACCCGTGCCATGGAATCCATGATTCAACACGACCAACTACTTGTATGAAGCTATATAATGATATAATGAATTCATGTGAATGGCTTAAGTATGCTGCGATTGGGGCCGCCAACAAACAACTGAGCATGCTTCAGGAGGTTCAGTCACAGTGAACTTTCAAGTTTTCAAAGTTACGTCCACACGTGGACTACCATTTTGGAGGGTTTGAGGCTTCTCGTGGGACGCCAAGTATAGAACCATCGCCAGATAGGAACATTGAATGGTTCTTGTGGCGTGTGCTACCTCGGGCCCCGGTATGAGCGATGGGGTTAACGTGTGCAACTACGCACACAGAAGAAGAAGAAGAATAAGAAGAAGACGAGAAGAAGAAGAAGAAGACGAAGAAGACGACGACGACGACGACGAGAAGAAGAACAATAAGAAGAAGAAGTAGTAAGAAGAAGAAGAGGAGCAAGAAGAAAAGCAAGAAGCCTTCCAGATGGAGGTGGATTGCGCTAAAAGCCCTCCCATTGGCAGGTCCATAGCACAGAAACTCACTATAGTTCCTGATTCCTGTCAAGAAAAGAAAGATCGAAGCAAAGCACTGAACCTGACATGGAGCAACCGGAAAAACCCAAAGGTTTCCACTCTTTTGGTACAGTTTGGACACTTTCTTTCAGGTAGGTCTCTTCACCGAACCATGGCAGATCCTGGCAGATCATGGGTCTCTTCACATGTTTGGGCACTGAATATATGCTCCAGGTCTTGGTTGCTACAAGCCAATGAGGAGAATTATCTCCTCATCGAGCTGAATCTCCGAGAGGAGAAGGGACAAAGATGATCGCTAGACTCAAAAGACCTTGGTGGAACCCCAAAGGCAATGGTCTTGTAGCGTTTGTTTGTAACGTTCCGGCATGTCATTAATCAAAGCCATCCAGGCTTAGTTTCTTGGGTTTGCATTGCTTTGACTGATGATAGCCTTCGCCATGGACCAGACCTTGTGAGCATGTTGAACTGGTAGCGCTTGACCATGTGGGCCATTCTAGCTCTTTACAATAGAACAAAACAACATAACTGAAAGGGCAGCGCTACTGGGTCTTCTTTACATCTTGATGTCATGTCTTTGCTCTTTACAATACGTTACAATAGCCTACCCGGCTCTTCACTCCACTCCGTGGGACGCTTTCTTTGCCTCTCGGTGTGGGCCTCTCGGTCGATCTGACCACTTCGAAGATGCTGGCGGCTTGCGCCGCTAGGCCGGTGACCCCCACTTCAACGCGAAGATCCCATGTTTGTTGTGTGGGTAACAAAAAGAAGGTGCATGTTGTGGGAAATTAACAACACGCAACAAATCGCAACAATATGCAACAATGCAATACTTCATCCTTGCAGCTATTACGTAGATACTGTACACATATATATATATATTATATGTATATATATATATTATATTACACAGCAGTTTACACACCATGTCGTTGTGCTTTCTGATCCCCTTAACAGCAGGGGTGGGGTAGTGGCCCGCCTCTCCGCGTAGTGTTGCACCTTATGTGTCAGGGCCACCAGACTCACTAGACCGTACCGGCCCTCTAGTATGAGCATCAATTCCGCATGAAGATGTTGCTGAAGCTGAAGCCTGGGCAAAGCTGCAAAGCTGAAACGCTGAAACCTCCATCGTCGTACCGTTCACGGTTTCGTCGTGTGTCGGTCACCTGTGTCTGTCGGTCGCCATTGCTGCATGGTTTGGCCTTTAGATATCGACACAGGATCCTTCAGCTTTAGGTCTGACCTACACAGTTCACATGCGCTTGAGGGGGGAACTCCACACTGGGGGGAACACATACTGGACTTGTTTTTCGAGATTTATTTTTCTTTTTTGGTGCATTCTCTCAGGAGCTTTGGGATCCTGACCGGGTTTGGCATGTACCTATCCAAGGCGGATTGGGTTTTGCCAGATCTGTCGGACCCCTGGGTTGTGTATTTATGTTGTACCTGAAATGTAGTAGATAGACACCATTTCTTCGGACATGATTGAGATTTCAACATGAAATCCTATATGAGTATTTTGTCACTTGTCACTCACTCAGGTTTCTTTCTCCCACTCTTCATCAACAGGCTTGAGCACTTCGAGTGTTTGTTTGGCCTACCTCCATATATTTAATAGCTGCTCCGGAGAAGTACTGATATCGCAGCTACTGGCATCGGTGACATCGGTATCAGTATGCCTTGAGAATGATGCTTGAGACTCGAGACCAAAGAACCCAGAGACCCAGAGACCACAGATTCTATTGTTGAACAATGCACTCTTTTGAAGCAGCAGCATGTTGTCTAAAGCTTGCAACAGGAATCGTCATTTTGTCCATGCCTGTGCTACTGTACTGCTGGTAGCTAGATGTACCTAGTACCATTAGCTTCTGCGGGGATAAACGACTCATAAACAGAAGTCAGAAGAAGGTGATGCTTGAATTTCACCAATTGCAACTTGCCACTACCAGAAAACTAAGAAGACTGCATCTACTGGTAGGTCAGTCCCCATCTCGTCCTAAGACTGTCAGACTGCGCCCCTTTCTTGGATCCATCCAGTGCCCACGGAGGCCACCTCTTTCCCGCCATGGAGGATGCGCACCTGAACCTCTCCGCGTGGCACGAGCCTCATCGCTGGGCTTCCGGTGGGAGGTACCGCAGGTCGGACACTTTTTGAGCGAGGGAGGTTGGGGGGGACTTCCTCGGTGTGTCCCGGTCGGGCGCTTTGCGTTGCACTGCAACGTTTGAATCAACAGGGTGGCACTTCGAAGGGAAAGGCAGCGCGTGGCGTGGTCAGGGTGGAATACACTTCACAGTCAACAAGCTAGCGGTCCTTTGACTTCTAGATGAACCTGGTGCAATGGTTAACTACTCCTTTACGGAACTGGGTGCCTCCGCATGATTTCCAAGTGCTCGCTTAGGGTGGAGAGTCTAGGTGTTCCTGTCATAGCTTTTGAAGCCCCGGGATGATTCAATTCTTTCTTCAGTCAGCTGTAGGAAAACCCTTGATATTTGATCATATTTCGGGGATGCGGATCAAATCTGCATGGGCTGAGGTATGGCATGTCCTTCTTCAAGCACCGTCTTCGCCACGTGCCTGAATGGGAGGAGGACAGATCCGATCTGCGGTACGGCCACCGTACACCCAAACCCTTCTGCAACAACACTGGACCTTGCTTTTGTGTATTGGAGGTTAAACAGTCCTTGCTGGAGTGAGCACCAGTGCTTGGATTGGGTGGAACGGGGAGGGGCTGGAAGCCCTTTCTGCATTTCAGCTGCACCCACCCACCCACCCACCCACCCACCCACCCACCCACCCTAGATGGAAACATCATGGCTATGTTTGACTGGCCCAAGTGCCTGGGATGGATGTGGCAGCAGTCGGGCAGCTGTTGCCTGGCTGCTGCCTTGTGTTGATTCATGCAGTGAAAAGAGCATTTGGATGAGAGGAGCAGGCTCTGTTGCTAGCAGGGTTGACGGCTCGGCAGTTGCCAGATGCCCTATAGATGGAAGATATGCTTGCCCTGGAGTCATATCAAGGTTCCAGGAGGTTCGATGTAATATTCAATCGAGAGTTGGGGCTGATGTTCGTTATCTATTATTTTTGTCAGACAAGAAGCTACTAGGGGCTCCTGGCCTTACTAATTACTAGGAGCGATCGGACGCTACGAAAGGGTCTCTTGGCATCGCTACGAACGGAGCATTCTTACTACTAAAGTTGTGAGGTGTTATTTTCGTCAGAGTTCCCCCTCACCAAAGGTGCCATCCTCCGCCCTCCCTCGGTGGCATAGGAGCAGCGGCCGATGTTCTGCTCTACGCCGGGGGTGCCAATGTTGTGACGTGTCAACAGCGACTCGTAGTTGCAAGGTGCAGATTGGTGGGATGTACCACTCAGGGTTGTTTAAGTCGGTATGAACCACATCTTTGCGGCTGTGAGTGATCGAACATCTAGTGTTCACCATGCGCTGGTGCCACTTATACTCAAATCACGATGCATTTCTTTACTTGTATTTAAGCATGTGCCACCCACCCAATATTCCTCATTAAATGCCTCGTATCAACTGCCGGAGGGTCACTGTGCTGACTGTGCCCTTTTTCTTCAGGTCCGTGCTTCCTTGCCAAACGAAGCTCAGATCGATCTCCCTCCATCTCCGACTCCGTACGAGGCCGTACCACTACAACTGCGTGGATGAACCGAACGTTCTCAGCGGCAAAGACTGTCGAGCTGCGGGAGTGTGCTGAGAGGATCAGGTATGATCCAATATTAAAACAGACAAGGGCACCCTGACCCTGATCTGACTTTGCATCGTCATGTTCAAGACTTTGCATAGATTGGGATTGTGCGCATGAAGCAACCACCTCATTGAAAATGGAACTGCTCAGATGTATCGGGCTTCCTCAGAACGGAACTCTCTCAGTGCGATCCTCTCTCAGTGCGATATCTCTCTCGCTGGGAGTTTCGGCTTTGTCTCGTTGCAAAAAAAGAAAAGTCTCGGGCCTCGGGATTCGAATTGAGTCATGAAGAGGTTGCTGACATGTGGATCGTGAAAAGCCCTTGTTTGGTTACACAGACACCGAAAAGGCCTTAAGAAAGTCCGAATGCCTTAGGCAAAATCATGCAAAATCCATCAACATGTCTCAAAACGCTCAAAATACCAGATGATGTTGTTGTAATGTTGACAGTAGATCAGTTTGCTTCAAAAAGCATGACAAAACCATGGCCATTGGCCTCAGAACCATCCACCATCGCTAGGTGCAGGAGCGCCGGCCACCAGGCGGGTGAAAGATCCCAACGGGGCGTGGCAGCTCGGAGTGGGCAGCGAGTGGCAGCTCGGTGACCCATGAGATTGAAATTATGACATGGGACACATTGAAACATATGGGCTTGTCTTTTTTTAAGGTGTCCAGTTTATGTAGGGAATATAGGATATATAATTCGGGTGTATGCAGTTTTGGGATATTTGTGATGTTGTGTGCCTATGTGCATAGCATCCAATGCATTGGTCCCTATCAACTATCCTTTTTGATCATTTGTGTGTGTGTGTGTGTTGAGTTTGGGACGTCCTCCAAAGACTCTTGGGAAGAGGAATCAAGTAAGATCCAATGGTTTGAGCATATCCATACCCGGTGTGGTTTCTGTCTTTGCAATATGCACAGAGCAGCAAACCAAATCAGTCACAAGGTGGTCGCCGGCTGATCGGGTCCTGTTGGTTAGGTTGAGGAAGGGCTTGGTACATGGGATACAGCTGTCTCAGCGGCTGTATCCCAATGTACAGGTGACAGAACCTATATAATCCTATATAGTATAATTGTAATATAAATAACATAATATAACAAATTACATCCCATTGTTCACATGTGAATGCACATCCAAGTAGGTGTAGGCATTCTTCGCTCGATTGGCGAGGGGCTACTTGAACGCGCATCAGACTTAGTAGGTACAGCAATGCTGCGAAATTTCGCCACTGCTTCCCTAAAATCCCACCGTCACCAGCCCATCTCATGTCCTCGCGTCTCATCTCTCGTCTGTGAAGGTGTGGGCCGCGTGGGCAGCCGCCCGCCTGACAGGGAGGTCGGGGGGGCGGGCATGGCGCCGAGAGGCCAACTGTGGAACTGAGGACGCCGGCCGAAAAGATGTTCAGTGCACCCCGTGCAAAACGCAGTTGACCCCCGCATGTCATGTAGACTCTTAAACCCCCAAGCCTGAAGAGGATTTCCAATTCAAATGGTTGGTGATTGATCGAGAGTCCACATGTATCGGAGTGTCGGAGTGCTTACGGTCTTTTAAAACCATGTCAATGTCATCCAACTTGGGACACTCCGAGCCGAAAAAGATCAGCGTGCCTCACGTTTCTGGCCTCGTTTGCCAGGTGTCCTTGTTGAGCCACACCAGAAGCGAGAAGGATCCGATTGCCCGGCTGCAGGCCACGTGGCTTCAACAAGAGCAGATGGAGGGTCAGATATCATTTCCTGCTCGGGGGACATTCCAGTTGTTGGCAGTTGTTTCCATGATGTATAGGCTAGGATTATGGAGGATCAGACTAGACGCTTGCCGCTATGCTACGAACTCAAGGTCTACGTTTGGGCCGAGCCGTCTCGCCCATGTTTTCGACAGACGGAGCGCAAGACACCACGCCCTTCACGTCTTGGCCCAGGTGCGCATGGATCAAGACCATCGAGCCGTGTCAGGGTCCCAGATCGTGGCGGCCAGGGGTCCGATTATAGTATAGTAATAGCGATGGCCTCCAACCTACTAGTGATGGCGTCCAACCTACTAGCGATGGCCTCCAACACAAGGTCCAACCGACCAGGGTCACGGCAGACCTATGTGGTATGGTGTGGGATTTGACTGTTGGACGATATGATTACATGCATTGGCACCCAAAATCATCCAAAAAGCCATGCGGGGGATCTCCAATGTTAGATCCATCTTTTTCTTTCGATTGATGCAAGTTGATCACGGGTAATTGTCCATGATTGAGAAGTATATAAAATCAAATCAGCATATATATATATATATATTATAGATTTTCTATGATCTTGTACTTTCTCCTCAATAGTACCACATTTGCTACCACCATGTGCTGATGAGGATCCACTTCCTGAACGTTGAACATAGTAAGTGCCAAGCTGGCCTAGCTGCTACTCTCCGAGCAGAACGCAAGATCAGATGACTACTCTCCGGGTATACTTTGGGTTGAAAGGAATACAAGCAAATCCTTCTAACACCGAAGTACCGAGTTTCGGACACGTCCAACCTCGATGATCATATAGTCATCAATCAGATACATTAGTTACATTTTTCAGACTCCAAAGAATCCCATCCCAGTCCATCTGGAGGTTCTCCTTGGAACTTTGGCAAACAGTTGGACACTTGGAGGATGGAGAACCTCCCGACAGCGAGCGCCCGGTGGTCGATCTTGTCTAGCCCAGAGGCCAAAGTGGATTTCCCTGTCATATTTCAGGGTGTTCATTTAGATGGACCATCCAAATACAGACCAAAATGATCCAAAAGGGGTCGAAATGGATGATGCCCCAATGTTTGTGTTTGTCATTATGTGTTTCTCGGATCTAAATTAACTTGTTTGTATCAGTCCCTCCAGGTCGATGGTCTCGTAAAACTAGATCATTAGAAAACAGATTTCATGACACTTCTATTTACTTTCTGATGACTTCTAGGTACTTCTTGTCATTCTGATCATTTTCGGGGAGAAGGTGGGACGGCATGTTTTCCTGTGGAGGGTTTGGGTGTGCTGGGTGCACTGCTTGATCACCTGCCCAGCTGCAAGTTGTGGGCTCAAAGTGGGTGGGGTTGGGTGGGCACCATGCCCGATTCCAGACCGTGGGAGAAGATCCTGGTGGTCTTGAAGGCTGGAATTTGCTGAAGCATAGTCTTCAGTATCCAAAGACATGCGTGAATCAGCAAGTGAGACCATCAACCGTATGAGATCATCAACCGGTCAGGTGTTCTACAGAGAGAGGTTTAAGGAGCTGGCGAAGCTCGAGCAAATCCCAGTCAGACCCCCAAGCTACCGGGGGGATAGATTTTCTGTCTTCTCCTGGCACGCATTGCAGTGTGCTTGAGGTTTCTGAGCTGGAGAGTGGTTCTTGTGGGGTTGGCTTGGGGTCAATGGTTTTTTGGGGTGCGCTGGTGCGAACTTCTTGAAAAAACCTCTCTGCCTGCTGGCAGGAATCACTGCCAGGGTGTTCCTGTGCGGTGTTCCTGTGGAGTCCGTTCATAGATCCATGGTGAGTTCCTGTGGGGTCCGTTCATACGATCCATGAGGCACCCTCTGAGTTCTCCTTTGTGAATGTGGAGAGGAAGCTCAACAGCAAAATCTTCAAGGGACGTGACCTTCCTGTTCGTCCGGGACTGTACTTTGGGAATGGGTGCATGGTGCAGCAAGGACAGGCCATTGGGGATGGCTTCAAGGTGAGGACGACAAAGCTGGCCAGATGACCCTTTGCTCACTCTGAACCCGTTGGCTTCGTATCCTGCCATGCAATTGCTTGTTCATGCCTTTTGGCCATGTCACATGTCACATCCAACATGTGCGTCCTAAGGCAAGCTTTGTGCGAGTGGTTTGGCCGGTGTGAGCAAGCCCCAAGGTTCTTGTGATTTTGGTTGCAGTTCAAGTATATTTTAAAAAGGTATTTATTCTGTTGGCCACACTTTAATTAGTAGGCATTGTGTCCATATCGGTCATTTCCTGGTGCCTAGGTCCCAGGAGCAAGCAGATTCAATCCATGTGGCTGGAATGCGGTTCCTCCAATATCACATCCACCTCCTCAAAGTCTCTTCCAGGAGACTAGATTGACGTTGACTGTTTTGGGGATTGTGAAGAATTGTTGGCGCAGTTTGTATTTTATGTTCATCCTGTGGCAGCTTTTGTGGGGCACGATGGGATTGCAGTGCTGGTTTGTAAAGCCAAAAATGCATATGTTCAAGCACTTGCTGGAGCGCACCCGCAAGTTCAGATCCTTGATTTGATGATCCACCCTGGTGTTTTCCTATGCTTTACTTCCTGGTAGGGTTTCCATTGTTGGTGGAGATGTCTTGGTGCTCCTCCTGAGGGCTCCAGCTGATTCCAGCCGATTTCTGTGGCGCATGTGGCCAAGGATGCAACAGCCGCTTTGCGCATTGCTTCTTGGAGGAGGACACGATAGGGACATTGAAAAAGGTGTCGGCGAGCATCTCTGGCCGTCACATGGAACCCTATCTGTGCAAGATAGCCAGGCTGAGGCCAGGTGTTGGAGGATGTTGAAAGAAGTTTGCAATTGTTCACGGTATAAACTCAATATAGTTTGATCTACAGTGCCTAGGGTTTTGTAGGGACCATTCCTGGTCAGTTGGTTTTGCAGGGCCAATTCCACGTGTTTGCGTGTCCTTTTTTGGCACACGTTTGGTCAGGTTGAGATGTGCAAAGAAGCGCATTTGGAGGACTGCTTTTGGGGATGTTTTTTGTTTGAATAAACATGCAGGCATTGGTGTACTGTGGGTTCGAAAACCTACCAAAAACATGTAAAACCTGGTCCCTTATGTCGTCGAGTACTGTGTGGGTATGATCCATCAGGTCACTGTCTTGGATCTACAGAGATTTTGCATGATTTTGCTTTCATTTGACACTTTTTGCAGGACCAACATGGAGCAAGCTTGGCGACGCTGATGGAGAGTGGAAAGAACATTAAGGGGCGTGTTTCGGATCGTCTCGTAAAACTCGATCGTTTGCACATGACCTCGTTTTCCTTGACTGCAGGGAGTGATTTTTGTTTACCAGGGTCGCCACGCGACAAAGTAAAGACAATACAAAGAAGACGACACCAATGGCAGTATCTAGACACCCACCCTTTCACCAAGGCTGCTGCAAGAACCTGATTTAACTAAACGACTTGGCGTTCATTCTACTCCTGGATGACTTATGTATTGCAATATGACATGCTGTCCAAGGTCCAAGAAGCATGAACTGGCATGGCCATAGAAGGGCCATGCTAGTTGTGTTCTCCTGCCTGGCATGGCAGGCGTTGGGTGCACACCTCATCACATGGCATATCATTGGCATGCGTATCATTGCATATCCTCTGGATCGAGGTGATGGTGTCTTAAAACATGTCCTGCCTGCTGCGTCCGCATGCTTGCCTGCAAGCGGTAATGCGAAAATGGTTGATTTTCGGGGTGCCAATCCAAGAGTGACAGACAAAGACCTCCTACTGTACTTTGCTGTGACCTCCTTCCTTGGTTTCACTTGATGGATCCAGCTGTGAACGAAACGAAAACCTCCGTGACCCGATCATTGGGCATCGATCATTGGACCGACCGGCCGACGTCACATCGTTCATTGTGAGCTGTGTGACGAGCGGTGACGCTGTTGACAGGATGCAGTGGAGCAGTGGTGCTTGGATGAAGGAATTCCAGGTCTCAAGGGCTCTCACTTGAGGACTGCATCCAAACATCAAATTCCTGGACGACCAATGTGTTGGAACCCGCGGCAGAAATCGGTTTTGCAGTACGATCCAATCAAAACATGTATCAAAGACTCCACTGTCATCTATGGCCCATTCAACGCACATCTCAGCATGAACAATGGTGCCTCGGACTGGGAAAAAATAGTAAACTAGTAGAGATTGTGGAATACCCAAAGTTGCAAAAGGGATGGAAAAGGAACACTCGGATGAAGAGGGTCTCCTACGATTGTTACATATTGCACACACCTTCAAATTGGGTCATTGTATATGTTTGGATGTTTGCTTGTAATTTCTTTAGACAGCTGCAATGCACTGGCATTTGCTTCACCTCACCAGGTCTTGTGTCATGGCATGGTGTCTACTCCAGATCTTCCCATTCAGGTGATTTGACTGATGATTTCATCACGGAATTCAACTTTCTACTTATATATATATACACCTGTCATTACCTGTGTAGCCTATAACCTTATATATATATGTATCTGTGTATACTGATGATTTCATCATGGAATTGAACTTCTCTACAAACCTGTCTATAACTTCCCCTCTTCCTACTTCTACCTGATGTCCATCCCTTAGCCATACTTCTGGAACCCTTACGTTCGGCCTCCAGTCTCCAGGAGTCCTCCAGTCGGGCCTTCGGCGTCTCGTCTCGTCGTTCCGTGTCTCGGCCCGTCTCTTTCCGCAGGACGGCGTTCCCTCCGCGCAGTTACAGCGATCGTGCACAGAGTATGTCGGTGCTTGGGCGGAACCCACCGGTCGAGCCGAGAGCTACGTCACCGTGCCGTGGGTCGAGTTCGCGTTCTTTTTGGGGGAGGCGGTCTCGGCGCTGAGACAGCGGTCTCAGTCCCGAGGTCCCGGAAGAATATGGCGGTGAAAAGCATTGCGAAGCGACCACTTCTTCCGAAGCGACGTTCCTCCAGACTCAGAGGTGTCGCATTCCACTCTTTACATTGGTAAAGTCACTGTGGTTGCCACTGTTATATGGGACGAACCGTCCGACAGAGCCGATCGGCTTTTGAGGAAACACACTTAGTCGACGATGTCTTGTCGTGTAGTTGATGATCCTCTTGGGAAAGGACATACCGTCGTAATTGACCGAGCGCAAAAGAGCAGTGATTGGAGGGTTGCCAGGGAGCTGGTTGGTCCAGCGGTCAACCCTCATATGAATTGGACCAAGTGTTTTTGGATGTTCCAATCACATGATGGTCGAAATTTCATGAACCTGACCCATTGCGGTATCACGCCCGATGCGCCGATGTGCCATGTTCTGCTGTGCAGCCTGCTACAGGGCCGGTAAGGGGTTGGATGGACATCTGTGGACCTGCTCAAAAGAGCCAATGGCCATTGTCCTGATGCCAGGGCTTAATTATGGTGGCAGTGGACATCCTCCCCCATAGAGAACATGAGAGCAATCGTGAAAACTCGGCGATGGGTCAGTTGGAGTGCCCATCTTGGTCTCTGACTTGTCAGTTATAGCTATGGGTCAAAAGCTGAAGCTTCCTGCCCACGGCCGAGCCTTATTAGCAAAATGCTTTACGTATTTCCGAGCCAGGTACAAGACATACGCAGCAAGTCTTTGTTTGGATTCGTTGGACGTTATTGACTCCATCGAACAGGTGTTGCAGCACGTTAGGTAACACGAGCCACTGACGATTGAATGATTGTGTTTTCTTATGTTTTCTTATTTTTCTTTGACTTTAGGACCCACGCATGTTGCATGTGCAGAAACCCGAGAATCCTATAGGATACCTATAACAGACATGTACATCATGTATCCGTTGGACCGAACGATTCTCTTAGGTCCCTCACTTGAGGTTCATGACTTTGTGGAAGTCCTGGATGTCACGACTCAGTTGACCAAGGTTGACCAATCTTTTTACCCTTCAGAAATGTTGGATGACTCTCAGGTGGGGTGCTGACTCCCTTGGAAGGTTCTGGCACTTACTCTCGATTCTACGGTTCAGAGCTGAACATCCCCTTCAGCTCTTCCGGGTGTCTTCTAAGACATTTTAAAGACGTCCAAAAGAGCTCACCGGAGCTACTCTCAGCCGCCTCATTCTCCGTCCGAGGACGCGGACCTGGCACCCAGTGCCACGCTCTTCGTGGAGAGTGCACGAGAAGGCTGAGCAGAGCGGAGTTAAAAAGGCTCCTTATGCCTCCTTCATGCAAAACGAAGTTGTTTAGTTCGGGGCACTGGGGCATGTGCTTTTGCCGAAGGTGACATGTGATTTTGCAGGTCCCAAAGTTTATGAGTACTTAGACATTTGAAGCGATAGAGGCTAAGTCATCGGCCTCTGACCAGTCCATCAATGTCCATCATGGTCAATTTATTGAGCCCATCGGTTTCACGCTGTTTCACCAATAGCGCGTTCAGTGTGTTTTGGCGTTCTACTGCAGTTCCTTTGGATTGTATAGAAGCAACATGTGGACCATGCCAATGAATTGACAATAACTGAATAGTGGCTTTGTGGCTAATTAAGCAGGCTCGAGGTGGTTTGCCCCATGATAGTCCCATGTTGTTATTTTTGTGTGTGTGTGTGAGAAGGTACCGCCTGTATTTATGTTGGAGATCCAAGCTATTATTTACCACGTTATATACCCTTTACAATATATTGAGATATCACTTGGCGATTTTATTCCCAGACGGCATCCTAGCAGGTTTCCGCGAGACCTTGTTCAATTGTGCCATTGGCACGGCAATCTTGGATATTGCACTCCGACTCACTGTTCGTAAACAAAATGGGCTTCCAAGAATCCATTGTTCACTTCCATGTTAGTGAGTCGGAGGGCATGGGATTTAGCTTGGAAGGGTTAGTGGTCGGCACTCTCCTCCTTTATCGATCATGTCGTAGCATTGAGTAGCACCACTTCCAAAAGCCCTGCCCAGTATTTGCAAATGTCAGGGTTTTGTCGGCGTTTCAGTTTAGCACCTGAGACATGATACTACATGACAGCATCATCCCAGGGTTGTCATCCGTACAAAATGAAAGTCAGTTGTACCTCAATATTGAAACATTCACGTTTACATGTGGGTTGTTCCGATTTCTGGCATGGCCATATCAGAGACATCATGAACATAGGATATCTTCTAACTTACCAGGAAACAAACTGTTAATGCTTCCTGTGGAATCAAACACACTTGCACATGTGTCACCCTGGAGATTGCATTTGTTCCTCTCTGGGACGCAGCTTGCAGACTCTGCACGCCATAAAAAAGACGGGCACTGACTGCTAGCTGGAACAAAAGCTGGAGCAACAAGGTAACAGTCAAAAACAACGGATTTGTATGGATTGTTGGGAGGATGATTGGACGGCCAATTGGGATATCCGACATGAAGCTATTTTGTTTAGCTTTGGGATGTTTAATTGGGCCACCTAGCCGCAATTGTTGACCATAGACAATTACAGGTCATACAATTTCTTACACTTCACTAAACAGTTTCATTAAACATCAAGAATCCAAAATCGCTCGAGTCTGGCTTAGGTCGTTACACGGTGTGAGTCTTGTACAAATGCTCTACGCAATCACAAGGGAGCTCAAATTCTTTATGCAAGCAGGACGCTAGAATGTAATTGCTTTGGTTTTACCACGTTTTAACACTCACCAGGGTGCACGACATGACCTGGCCCAATGCAGTCATGAGTCAGGTTCCTTTCGCAATTGCGCAAGAATTTTGTAGGTGGCGAAACCATGCAAAACATGTCCTGGCATTGTTAGCTGTGGGGTTGGTGTTTGCTTGATCCAGATAGGGTTTATATGGGTTTATTGATCTAGTGTTGCTTCAGGGCACACAAAAACACGACCGTAAGTCGGTGTGACTCGCAAGTTCTTCCGTGTGCTCTTCTGGCTCAAGGGTGGAAAGAACAACACCTTTGGTAAGGTCACGTTGATAGGGTGTTTGATTCCTATGGTCCTATAATATGGTATTCCTTTGTGTTCATTTGTTTTATATGCCTGACTTCAGTTTTGGACCTACCCTGACTGTGGCTTTATGTGTGTATTGATAGGTGAAGCGAAAGGGACAACTTGAGTTGTTTCTGGTCTCTTGGGTGGTTGCTGATGATTGCAGCTGCTTCAGCTCATTCCTATCAGAACAAACACGAAGCAGTTGCCAGTTGACTTGTGAGGCAGTTCATGCTGGCTTGTGCTGGCCAAAGACATCGAAAGAAATATAAATGTTGCTCTTGGGAAAGATGCTGCTTGCGTGTATCCGCGTGCGATTCGCACACTGACTACAGTGAATCTGTGATAATTATATCGAAATGCAGCCAATCTGCTATGGGACTCCAGCACTCCATGAAGAGTAGCATGATTTCTTGGCACCAGATCCTAGCTTTGAATTAACCGCGTTTCGAAAAGCGGAGCCACAAAATCGTGCAACGAATTGACCGATCTGCCCTCGTTGCGAGATGGGCCAGGCTGGGTGGATAAAATGGCACTCTGGAAGCTGCAGTACACCTGTAAGCTCCGTACTGGGATCTAACCATGATCTAACATGATCTAACTATATGCCGCCATTCATGACAAATCATCATGTTCTACCTTCTATATACAGTGATCTCAGAGTAGCTGTCACAATCCCCAAGATGACCATATAATGGGGGCATACAAACTTTTTAACCACCGACATTGGGATTGTGCCATTTACTCTCAATCCGCGAAAGGCCTGGAGTGAACATCAAGCCAATCCTGACCGTCAGGCCTTTGGCCATCTCTTTGGCAGCGAGCCAGTCCATGAAGAGGTGGTTTGGTCGGGGGAAAATGGATGAGCTGAACAAGGAATGTATATAAGAGTATAGAATTCTTCTTTACAGTGGCTTTACCTTTCCTTGGTGTTTCCTTTTTCAGCACGTAGACTGTCTGTAGACTTCTTCCGCAGATTCTCATATCACTCTGGAAGGGCTGGACCATCCAACGTGTGGGCTTTCAAGTCATTTGAAGCAGCATGCAATATGATAATCAGTGACCATCAGGGGATATGGCACTGCACATGCTAGACTACTCAGAAATGAGAATAAATGATTCCAGACGCATCGAGCTGATGGTCGGAGCTGATGTAGTTTGTCAGTGTCGTCTCCACGACGGTGGCCCAGTGCACAATCAACTGGAAAACCACATGAAGTCCCTGCGATGAGGAGCCGCTCAAAAAGAAAGCCTGTCAAAAGCCTGTCCCATATTTCAGAGTTTGTTTGTTCATCACCGACCAGGGTGCGACCGGACAATCTTGCAGCACCAACATGCTCGCATGTGTTCCCGTTCTTGATGTTTCCGGGGCTACAGATTCTTAGCCAACAGTTTGTCCGCCCAAATGGTAGCAAAAATCATCGACCCCACAACACGTGGCATTTTCGCGGACCAATAGAATATGATCTGAGGAGTGTGATTCTTCAGATCAAATATCTTTGGATAGATGAACCTTGTTTGGCACAAACAAGAGTGTGATTCTTCATATTTGTGCCCTTGTTTGGATAGAATATGATTCAATGAACCTCTCAAAACCTGGCACCTGGGGTCCCACACCCTGACGACTCCGGAGGTGGATGGTATGGCCGATGATCCGGGCGGGACGATCCCCGGCGTGGACATCACCGGGGACAGTCGGGAGACTGAGTCGGACGTGGACTGGTCACCTGTCAGTGGGACAAATCATGGACGATGTTTCAAGAAACAGAGAGTCATTGTATAGTTGTTTTCAACTTTGTGAATGATGATGTCTTCAAAACATGAGCAGGTGACAGGTAGAGAATAACTTGATCATGATGTCAGTCAGCTCTGAAGTACAGAAGCTCACCCTTGAGCTGCTTGAAGGATCAGAAGCATGAAGGAAACAAGCAACTTTCCTGAACCCGCTCAGATCTCGAGCGCCTCAAGTATCCCAAAGACGTTTACGAAATCCTTCACGTAAACTGTAGGTGTAAATCAAGAGTCTCGAGGAGGATTGGAACTGGTAGCTATAGAATGTTTTTTAAACAGTAGCAGATAGAACTATGTATATATAGTTAACTATATGGAATTTGTATAGTTTTTAAGTATGGTCAACTAGAAACTATATAGTGTTTTACTATACTAGTTTCTATATAGTATACATAGATTATCATAGAATGCTTTTTGATTAACCAATTCTTTGAACATCTCTTTGACGCTTGAGGCGGACCCAGGGTCCGGGTGAAGATGCAAGAGACCATACTCGTCGGCTGAATACTCGAGGGCGATCTCCAGTGACCATTATAATATATATATACATCATTATTACTATTATTACTATTATAGTATATGTATACAATACCTCGAGCCTGAGTGGCCTCTAATAATTTTGGAGCACCAACCTGAGTATGTGTTTTTCCAATGAAAGCAGGACGAACCAAGGTTTTTGCAATTGGGATCATTTGAGCGGCGCTTTAAATTCCCCTCTCCATCTTTAGGGGGTCGGGGAAATTCGGGGAAATATCAGTGAAAACAATGATTTTAGCTGAGGTTTCCGGAAGGTTTTCCGGAAGGATGTGCAGCAGAGCACGGTGCCGTAAGGTTGTTGTTTGCTTTTATGACAGCTGGGGCTGGGCCCAAAGATGTTGAAGAAGGCACATATATCCTTGGCCGCAAGCACACAACGTAAGGAAAACCTTGCACACGTGTGGCGCCGGAAGCAAACCATAGGAAAACGTAAGCCTTGCGTAAGACCTACCGCAAGACTGGAATTCTCGGCAAGAAAAGACAACACTTTTTTGAACGCTGCTCTTGTGGGAACCACTGCTGGTTACCCAATATCGTTGCAACTGGATCCACTGGGACTGGGTAGACCAATGATAGGCAGCCAAGCCCAAAGCTTTTGCCCTGGTTTCGGTCAGTCAGGTTCGATGTCTGTATCATAGCGAGGAAAAGGTTCTTGCATGTAGGTACATCCATGTGCCCTTTCAATGGTGTTTTGATATTTTCTAGGTGTTGAAACGCCAGTCTTAGTATGCGGCAGCGACTGCTGAATGGAAGTACAATAAGAAACACCTGACACACACACACACACTATCCCAAGAAATTTCGTGGATACGAGGATGATGGACCAAATTCCCTCTAATTGAGGCTCTTCATTTCTTGAGGATGAGGTATTATTGTATCAAATCGTATCTATTCCTACGATCCGTTTTCATCTGCGGTTTCCTAAGGAAACATCGGACACACCGTATTGTTGGGATTCTGTCAACGGAATTCCTGTGAATCTTTGTGTTTTGACACCCTGACTCACTAACATGGAAGTGGAACATGGTCACTTGGAAGTCTACTTTCCTTTACAAACGGTGGGTTTTCCACTTCCATGTTAGTGAGTCGGAGTGTACTAAGCTTGTTCTTCAGTGAGCACTAACCATTATATATATATAGAGAGGCTATAGATATATAATATATATATATATATTGGGTTTGTCCCTTTTGCCAGTAAACAATTGTAATTATCACTATTTGTGAACGGGCCTTTACTAACCATCATCATCCACTGTTACTGGAATTGGATAGACCCAATATATCTAGATGATACGTTAGTAGGTCCTCCCATGTGGACCCTTCTTTTTCGCCCAAAAAAACAACCGTTTGTTCGCAACGGCGGAGACCGTCTCAGGTTGCTCTTGTACATACCCACCGATCTCCAAGGAGACCTTACACAAGGGTGACGAGGAGCGGCTTCTTCGTGTCGCTACGGACTCTCCGACTTCCTTCCAGGGCGGCTGTACTCGACACTTGTGCAAGACACAGGGCTTCCAGTTCAGTCATATTTATCCCAAGACTTGTCCATGGTATTTAAGCTGCTCATGTTGATGTGCTGCCTTTCGCAATTGCAATTGTTTGAACAAACTCGCAGGGTCCATGACGACCCTCCCGTGCGAGTGTTTGTTCGCAGGTCCAGGAGTTACTGGTAGCAGTGACCGGCCCAGGAGTTCTGGCTGAACCTCGACCCTTATACCGCCAGCACATTATTGGCCCAGAAGCCGAATGGCGAAAAGGAGCGAATGGCGTGCCGGGTTGGATCGAAAGAGCGAGCGGACGCGCCACAGGCATGAAGGTTTTGGCTTAAGAGGGTTGGTGAGAGGGATCAACTACCTGAGGTCTATACAAAAAGGAAGGTGGGAGGTTTTGTCCAGATCTCATGGATTGGATTGTTTTTGGAATGCGGATTCCGGCATCCGCCTTTCAAGAATCAAAAACAGCATCGACCCTGCCACCGAAACCTGCCATACAACATGGCAAGGGTTCGTTTGTGGTTGCGCACAGTCCGCAAGTGAGTGCATCCAATCCATGAGAAACAATGCTATAGTTGCTGTTTCCCCCACGCATTTGGGAGAGCATGCTGTTCGTCTCACATGGGTTTAAGCTTTAAGTTCATGTAGCATGTGACTACCAGTTGGTTCCCAACTACAAGTTGCTGCGTTCTTCTGATTTTATGCCATGTTTGAGGAGATTGAAATTGGTCCAGAGCAGGTCTTTCTTCCAAGTCCCTCAAAGGTAGGGCGGGACTCGCTAGTGGATGCAGCTGCCACTAGGCCACCCGTTGTCCCACAGACTCAAACACAAACATCATAGACTTAGAGCCCAAAATGCTAACAAACTAATCACGCTCGCCGGGATTGGCCAGGTTGTGCTCCCATCCCTCGGTGCTTCGGTCCCGTTACGGCCGGTGACTTCGTTTGCGTGTCGAAGGAGTTTGCCATATCGATGGATCGTTTTGGGATTGCCAAGCAGCACTTGTCCGACGCCCTTGAGACCATGCGCACCAAGCTGCTTGCATGCCGTGAGGACTGTGAGGAATCCCCCAAGGCATTGATTCTGTTGGCGATGAGAGAGTTGTTCCTTACACCACAGGAAGGGCCAGAAAAGTTGGGAAGGCCATCTGAGCTAAACAACTGGACAAGTTGCTGCAGGTTAGTTGCTGTGGTCTTTTTTAAACCTTTTTGTTGGACAAATATCTGAACAGTCTGGTTGAAAGTATGTGATGCCTCAAGAGGCAATGCTATTCTTGGAAGTGCCCTAACCAACCCACCGGGATCCACCCACCGGGATCCCCGGTCCAGCTCGGATGCCGAACGATGCCAACGGTTCCGACGGACCTTTCGACGGGTCCGAACGTTCGACTCGGTGGTGGTGAAGATCCGAACTGGTGAAACAACCTCGGCTCACTTGGATTTGGGTGTGTATTGAAAACGTTGGGAGACCCCCGGAGACCCCCTGGCCCTGGTCTATTTCCCGAACCGGACCCAGGAGGCGACAGCTTGACTTGAAGGGTCAAAACCTGGAGCCCGACCAGTCCACAACGTAGCGAACAACCTTCAGGGTAGGTCACCCAAGGTATCCTGGTGCCATGACCCACAGCCACATGTTATTTAACCTGTAGACTGTAGACTCTAGACATCCTCAGATTCTTAGGGGGTTGTCCTCGTTGGCTCACAATTCTGTACCCAGTCACTCAGCTGCCACAACTAAAATCAAAGTGCTAGAAACGCTATATGTGTATTGTATAGTTCTTATGTTTTTTCTTGTATTGCCACGTCTATCAATTTGACTATATACATATGCACATATATCCAATATCTATCATGTTTTTGTGGGTGGTGAGTTCAAAGGCAAAGCGTGGAACAGAGAGGATGCTGCTTGTGTCCCTAGTTACACATCTTTGGTGATTGGAATTTCACCAGTCAAAACAATGTGCAAGGTGCCCATTCGAGCGCGTTGTTCCCCTAGCCCCTGGGGCTCCTGGGGCTCCTGGCGCTCCTGGCGCCAGCTGAGGTACACGGATTTGGCGCTTGCGCGGCGCGATTTGGAGTCCAGCCAGATGGGTGCAGCCTGGGAGCATTTCAGCAAATGCCGACCGCTGAGCAAGAAGTATGGTGCCTCGGTATGGCACGGCGCAAGAAGTATGGTGGGGCCAAGTCAAGGATCTGTGGGGCCAAAGGATGAAGATCAAAGCGCCTTCCAAGTCTTTAACACTCCTTGTGGATCTCCAGTGTACACCCCGACAGGAAGTTGCAGGTACATCATGTAAGGGTTTTTGCGGTGCTTTGTAGGGGTAAAGGGTGCCAGGATGCCGCATTGGTCATACGGAAAGCGTCTCGCGATCGCCTCTGTTCAGCGTCTCACATCTCGCTGGTCGAAGGCTTATATCTTCCCTGCCACGAGAACTTCAAGACCGCCATGAGCCGCTGGACTACCGCTGGTGGTAACAATTCATAACCATATTCTGATTGAACATATTATTTATTAGGAAGAGGTTTTTGAAGCTGCCACATGTTTGTTGAGCGGTGGAGGAGGATGCGCAATTTGTGGCGTTGATTCATGCAATTGTTCTGTATATTTATATGTATTTGATGTTGTTTCCCAGAGTTAAACACGGGGTGCTACTCCCAACATGAACAAGGTCCTATTCTGAAACTCTTCATGAATTCTTCTGATTTTGTTTCTTCCATAAATATGTAACTATTTGGTATTCTTTCGCAGCTGCTCTTCAGCAACTAGTCTTCAGTAACTACATCCTTCAAAAACATTCAGAAACTATTTTGCATGTTGCAGAAACTCTTTTATGCATTCTTCAGAATCTATTGTCCGATCTTCAGAAACGAGTTTTGGGGTGGGCGGTGGCTGCGGGGTGGGGGACTTATTGACATCGGCTGTGACCGCTACGATACCTTTTTTTCTTCAATATAGTTACCACAGAACAGCGTGTTTAAAGTAAAACATACATCTCTCCTATATAAGAATCTCTCTATATATATAAATCTAGTTACGGCAAAATACCCTATACTATATAGAGTCTTTAGTTACCAAAAAGTACCTTTTAGTTACCGCATACAACACTTCCGAAGAAGACTGTCTATGCAGTGTCCGAAGACAACCATCTAGTTACCGAAGAACTTCTTCCGCAGGAAAGAAGACCGTGTAGTTACTACAGTTACTACAGTTACTTTCCGAATAGAACCTGGACCCCCAACATATTGCAATTAGTGACCTACGGGGCTGGTTGGCGTCTTCATTCAGAAGGGTTCTACCAACCAGAGCAGGAACACAAGGAGTTTATCATTCTCCAAGAGAGGGAGAGCTTACCAAAAGCTCACCTGTGGGATCCTGTGGGTAACACTACCTTTGAGTCGATGAAAGAGTGTTATTTGTGGAGAGGATCCTGGGGTTCCGTTGGCGCATCCTGTTTTGTTGTCCAATACTGGCGTGCAGAAATCGAATCTGAATGGCCTGCTAAGACTCAGACATGGCAAACATTGCTCAATGAATCCAAATGATCTGGCAATGGATTTGGCTCCTGATCCTCTTCAACCTTTTCTCATTTCACTTTTCATCCGAACTTCTCGCAAGGACGATATCGTGGGCTCCTTCAGAAACCGAGCTGCCCTGTTGGCGCTTCCTTGCCGCTGCGCCCTGCCAGTGCACCGCTGATCTTTCCGCCTCCAGTGCCGGACGTGGTCAACGCGTCGGTGTCCGCGGCCGACCGCAAACTCGGAGAGTTTCTTTGAGCTTCGATTGAGCGCAAATGGACTTACCAAAAGTTCCAAAGCCAAATGGTGCAGTTGCGAGTTTCATCAGGTTTCATCAGGGCTGCACACAGCAAAAAAGGTGCATCACCATCAGCCAAGGTGTGATTTCAGAGGTACTGGGCAGCCAGAAGTTGCAGTCATGCAGCACGTCCTTTGTGTGCAACCCTGTTCATGTCCAAAGTGGCTAGAAAGAACCCAGTTGGAAAATTTTGGCACATGTGGTGGCTGTCGTGACGTGGGTCGTAAGGAGGTCGCATTTTGCACCGTGATGATCCGTGGTGGCCGGATGTTCACAGCAAAGTTAATATATTTGTATCTTCCACACTCCTTTGCCACATCCAGGATACAATCTGAACATAATACTTTGGGTCCTCTCAAGCAAAACTACAACAATAATGTACACTAATAATGTTAGTCGCAGATGGTGCAAAGCTATTGTTAAGATCAGTGGTCCGTTTTAACCAGCTCTTGGAATTTGTGCAATCTAGGAATTGTTCCAAGAGATTGCGGCTTTCTGGGCGGATCATGATGGGGCTGGCCACGATATTTAGCTCACCTGGACCCAGGAGACGTGGATGTTCATACGGTTGTTGATCTAAAGGTCCTAATAGGTAGCGTTGTTGGCGATGACCCTGGAACATGTCAAAACCTCATTTGGCGAAAGTGTGTTTCTCGAGTTCGCGGAAGTATTTTTTAAAGATGTTCTTTCTGCTGCTGCTCTGCTGTTGCTGCTACTACTACTACCACCACTACTACTACTACCTACTACCTACTACCTACTACCTACTACCTACTACCTACTACTAACTACTGCTATATGACTTCTGGTACTACTTCTACATACTACATACTACATACTACATACTACATACTACATACTACATACTACATACTACTACTACTACTACTACTACTACTCCTCCTCCTACTCCTACTCCTACTCCTACTCCTACTCCTACTCCTACTGCTGCTGCTGCTGCTCCTGCTACTACTACTACTACTACTACTACTACTACTACTACTAATACTCTTACTCATACTACATACTACATACTACATACAAATACGACGACTACTACTTCTACTACTACTACTACTACTATTACTACTTCTTTACTACTACTATACTACTACTACTACTACTCCTACTACTATACTACTACTACTACTACTACTACTTTTACTACTACTACTACTACTACTACTACTACTACTACTACTACTACTA